CGACATTACAGTGAACGACGTTACCGCGAAGACTCGTTTATTGGAAAAGAAGAATAAATGAGCCTGATTTTGTACTTTGTATATCATGTGGAGGGAGGTGGGAAGTGGGGAGAAGGTATTGTGTATTCTGTTAGTGTATTCTTTCAGAGTCTTTTGAAAATATGCTGTAACTTGTATTAGATTACCTTGTTCTCTTTCCACTGACCCTAAATAATTCAATGCATTTGCTACATTGTACAATTGTCGTGGTTTACTTTATTATGTGAAATACGCATGTAATTATCTACTACTCAATCAAAATCACCATTGAACCGGCGAGTTTGACTCAAAGTAAACTAGTATATACAATTTCTTTAGCATTTAGTTTTGATGAATTGAGAGTATTATCGAAATATTTCCCACCTTTATTATATTCGCCCATTTCGACTACCAGACAATGCCTATTACAACACACGTTTCTTTTCTGATGCGTAGACAATATATAAGTAAACGTGTTTTGTGTTTAACGGGGACTTTTCCAACTATTCATTCATGCAGATAAACGGCCTTATGTTTTTTATAAGTGAATCACAGCCTGCTGTATCGTTTAAAACACATAACAGTCGCAAAGTCATTTCACTCAGCCGGCTTCCAATCTTCGCGGAGCTCAGTTGGCATCTAGTTCTTTCTTTCTTTCTCTACAGTTTTGGTTGATTATACTCTTCTCAATTATTTCTGATCGTACAGATTTGAGAATAAAATAATTCGAAAGTAGAAGCATCGTAACCATCGATGTTAGGGTATCCAGCAAAGTCGTTCCGAATCAGCTATAAAAAAGCACTTAGAGCCGCCAAATGTCTCATTTTGTAGAAAAATGTTTGCTCTGCCAACGTGAAGTACAAAACGACATTTTAGTGTTATCTGCGACAGAAATATAAGCAACAAAAACTGAGAAAAATTGCGAAAAAGCGATTGTCGATTATTTTTCTATGATTATAGTGCGTTTTCGATTTATTGTATTTTCTCTATAAAAACGGATATAAAGCTCATAAAATGGGATATAAATCATGCTTCTGTACTGTAAAAGTAGGGCGAACTCAAGTGCTCCAATACCCAATAATATTGTGAAAATCCAATAGATTGGGTAACCAATATTATTCAGATCCAATATATTGTATTGGTGCATGCCTACCCAGGACGACCTTTACGAGAGTCATAAATACACAAAAAAAATATTAATTTAATTGAATAAATACTTACTTTCGAATTATTGCTGACTTTAATCGAAAAAAATTTACGGTTTACTGTGCTGTTAAGATGAATCTAAATAAAAGAAAGATAATTATTTTATTTAAAAAAAGACTTATTATTCAACACGACAGAAATGCTACTGTATACGATCATAGATTATGAATCTTCGTTTTGTTTAAAAAACGTTAGATATGATAAGCGGATGATTTGTACAAGATACGTCAGTTGAATATAAAGAATCGACCTTCGAGATTATTAAGTAACTGCAACACTCACATGCTCGAATGATCGGCGCGTCAAGCGAGTGAATGTAATACTTGATTTTGTTGTATACCACTCTCTACATGTATTAATGTTTTCCTACACATTTTCTTTCACTAGGTATGTACCGGTATCGGTATTCATACCGAAATACCGATACCGACAATACCGACTTTTTTCACTTGGAATTTTTTGGATTTTTTCATTTGAAATGAGATGTTTTAGCGTCCTGGACACCCAGAATGAATCAGGGACTCTTTCGATACACCACCGCCGTTGTCACACATGAACGGTCAGTACAGCCAAGTGTAGGGGAAAAACCAGTGGTTTTTACATTGCTGTCTTCATTTGCTTTCATTTTTGGTAAGCAGTCAAGACAGGATGTTATAATACTCGTCGTTTGTAGCCATCAAATTTTTGCTACCCTCCTTCTGCGCATACGGTGTTCGTCGACGCACTGCATATGAGAGACACTCTCTTGCCATTAGTTGTCATTTTTATTTTATTCGCGTACCAGATAATAACAACAAACGCATCTTTTATATCCGTTGAATAAGCAATTGCATCGTGAGATGACAAGCTCAATGAAGAGTATAAGAACTTTTTAAATGACCTTGGTAAATCGAGAGTTATGCATTTCTGGATTCGAAAGATGATACCAGAGTATATTATTACATGTATGGCTAGGTATGACAGGTATAAGATAAAGTCACTCAGTTTTAAATAGAGATTTTACAGAACTTTCATATGAAATTAAAGAGTATGTGAATGTAAGTTTACGGTTTAGATTTTCCACATCTCTCTCCGCAGAGAAGTTTAAGGTCAAAGTGCTGTCTTAAAAACTTTTAAGATCACACTATAACATTTCAATTGTTCGCTCGCTGAACTGACGCACTTCAGTCACTGTCTGGATACCCAGCAGACCTAGAAGTGGGCGGTCCAGTCTGATAACCAGACCCAACCCGACCAGGTCTGAATTTTCTCCTCTTCTCAAGGAAGATTTATGCATCTTCTAACTGGTAACAACCAGGAAACAAAGCATTTCTTCAGTTCAATAATACTCCTTATTCGCACACAAGACCGAATAATGAAGTGTCGATTGCGCTAAGTGATATGAGTACAGGGTGGTCAAAAAAAAACTTTCCACCTGTGTATTTATTGACTTTCTTGTGTACAAATATAATTGAACTTTTTACCATTAGTTTATTCGAATAGAACAAAGATTTCTGGACGAAATGAGACGTCTCCGAGCTCTCGAAGAGCTTTTCGCATGAAACAGCATTCAATTTACGGAAGGTCCCATACCGCCGAAATCGGGACAATTAATGGGCAAACAAGAAAAATATGCTCTTGGCATCTTCCGTAAATTCAATGCTGTTTCATGAAAAAAGTTCTTAGTCCTCTCGGAGACGTCTCATTTCGTCCAGAAATCTTTGCTCTATTTGAATAAACTAATGATAAAAAGTTCAATTGTATTTGTACACAAGAAAGTCAATAAAATACACAGGGGATAAGTTTTTTTTGGATCACCCTGTACTATTGAAACGGAGCTGAGTTAATAATAGACTAAAATTAATAGTGTAAGCTACAAGCAGTAATTTATCTGACTCTTTGAAATTGATCAGTGAATAATTTACTTTTGAAAGACTCTTATCAATGAATGAGATAGTTTTCATGAAATTGGAGTGCCGCTGAACACATCTTGCTTTTTTGGTTGAATAAATAATTTGTCTTATCTCTCATATTGTTTTCACACGCATTAGAATTGTCTGATCTTATTAAACTCGTGATCACCATGATGATAAACTTTTTAAAATGTTCTAATAAATTATCGGAGACATCGTCGATGTCTGATACTCTATTCATTTCTCCAATAGTTTTCTACTTTTTTTTCTGTAAACTTTCTATTTTTTTTCACTGAGAATTTAGAATTTAGTTGGCTCTGATATTCATTCTTTTCGATATCTTCACGTCCATTAGTGTCCAAAATGTCTTGACTAGGAGTGTCAGAGCCAAAAATATCAATCGTGACAATGGAAGGTTTTTTAAACAGCTATCGCGGCGTGAAAGCGACACGACGCAGGTGGCAGCTTTATTTGGAGGATATTGCTAAACAGCATGGATTTGCACAGAATTTCAGTGTCCATAAATGTAATACTGTAGTTCAATGGATCGCATGGATTAGTTAGTAATGACAGTTTTAGCTCAATACAGTCATAGTAGTGAAAAATCGAAACATTTTTTTGAATATCATCGCGGCAGCAGTGCAGTAAAATTAGTTTTTAGGCGCGGTGCGGTAGGTTTTCAACCGCGATAAGTATCGCTGATCAGGATTCCCGTTCCTTTCGGTTTCGTTCGCCAAGGATTACGAACATACTTCACACTGCGCTTTCGTGCATTTTTAAATACGCTTGAATGTTTAGATATTTTTTACGACCATATTATTCATATAGATGCTCAGTCCAACCGGAATAGTGGTCCGTATTTGTGGAAATATGCGCATATATCGTTTGCGTTCTTGGCAATGAGAACTACATTCCTGATTCTCTTTCCTTGAAACGCAACAAGAAACTAATCCTCTAGTCCTGTTCCGAATGTCGTTTTGATTGTTTTACAATTTATTATAAGCAACTATAAAAACTTCTCTACTGTCCGGAAACTGTTTCTTTTTTGTATTGATTTGTGAGGTTTTGTTTGCTCTCACCAATACATTTGTATGTTCTAATCAACAGTGCTGCTTTCACAGTTGACAAATCTATGCCGAGAATTGAGCGTAGGTAAAAGTTACTTAATCTGTGAATCAGATTTGTCCATAAAGACCGATGTTTTCAGTATCAACTTGTCTTTGTGTGATCCCACGAAATATAATTGAACTAAAACGTTCGATGTCTATGATCTATAAATCTTTCTAGCGTTGCTTCTAGATTATAAAAGTTCAATTATGAGTAAAGATCAACAATTCCGTGCCGTAGATAATCCTTTAAAAGAAAAAGTTCCATTGTCAGCAGCTGTTAATGTTTGGTCTGCACTATTATCAACGGAGTCAGTTAAAAATCAATCAGCAGCAATAATTGATAAAGAAATCTCAGAAGAAGAAAAAATGCATTTGCCGTTAAAAATTTTTGATGGAAAAAAAGCATCCATCAGTGATTTAAATCAGGCATCGAGCTCGTATTTATGGTTAAGAAGAATCAAAGAAATATTTTTAGTATTCGGAACAATTGCTGAAAATGATCCACTGACCATACATGATACAAAGAATGCTAGAGAAGAGATGATGGAAACAACGAATATCTTTTTAGAAGCTGCTAGACCAAAACAAGGAACACAGGATCAGGTATGAGGTATACTACCCACATACATGTTAGCCGTCGATCTGGTATTACATGAATCTTCTTTATTGTCAGATAAAATCTACTATCTTCGTATATAGTGATGTTTCTGAACGTTGAGTAGTAATTTTTGTTCTTCACAATAATTCTCTGGATATTGTATGACAGGTATGGCATTGATAAAGACATTCTCAATATTTTGCTCACATATTATTGAATTTTCATTGCTGATACTCAAATAGACATGTGACAGCTCTGTTTCAATAGTACAGGGTGATCCAAAAAAAACTTATCCCCTGTGTATTT